TCGTATACGGTCGAAGGGCACAAAGCGCATGCTTACCGTGCGCATTTGCTTGGCCAAGATCATCTTGCGGACCCACGACGACAAATGGCCACCAAAGTCGACGTCGAGGATCACGAAAAAGTCGACGACACCCGGCACAACGCTCTCGAGAGCCACAAAGCCCGACGTGCGGGCTGTCGCGCGGACGTAGCCCGGTACGCTCGGGCACGACGAGTGCTCGACGGACTGGATGCAGCGCGCCCAGCCGCGCCGGCCTTGGTCGTCGACAAACTCGTCAAAGTACTAAGAAAAAGCGTCAGCAGCGAAGTAGAAACGCACAGCTACCTCCTCGAGCACAAAAAGGTCGCGGGGGCGGCAAAGGACCGGCGTTGCATACGCGTTCCAGCGCAGTCCCATGTACCGGTTCGGGTGGTTGGGCGTCCGCGGCACGAGGTTGTAGATGGGCTTGGTGCTATCGTACCGCATCTGGTTGCAGTACTGCTCCGGCTTGTCGAGCGTCCCGAGGTAGAAGGCCGAGACGTCGTCGAGGGCGCCCGGCATCGACACGCGCGCCTGCGTGAGCGTCGACTTGGGCTGCCCGCGGTCGCCGACGCGGTCAATCACGACGACATTGCCTTTTGCGACGAGCTTGATCGACTGCACGAGGAGGCTCATGGCGTGGGTTGCCTGGGCGCGAAAGTGCGCGCGGTCCGCGGCCGTGAGCGGGCGGGGCGTGAACTCGGGGAGCGCCATGCTGGTGTAATACGGACAAAGGAGGTGTGCTGACGACAACGACGCCGTCGCCGTCTACCGGTACTACCGGTACATTTGGTGGCGGCCGTTCTGGGATACTACGCGATTTGTCGCGGACGATTCCCCAGCTTGGGCGCGTATTTAAATCCATCACAGTCCAATATATCAGCGTATTTTAATGCAATGATCGATACAAACAATCTTGCGAGGGTCAAATATGACGCATATTAATAGATGGGTGGGTTGCCGAAAGACGCAAATTGTACTTTCTGAAAAGGCGTCTGTCCCACGCGGTTGGCGCCATAGAATCGAAGCTGGAGCGGACAGTACTCGCACGGGAAAGCGCCATTGTGTCGTGGACACTGACGCCAGCCCCGTAGCGCGCTGGGATTCGCCGCGCTAATAGCTGCCGACGTCGTCGTGCGAACGGACAGTACTCGGAGTCGACGCACGCGGCCATGCACGCGGCTGCGAAATCTTCGAACGTCGAGGATGCCTCGTTGAACCTCAAGAGAACTCGGCTGCCATTGACGGGCGTGTGGCGGGGGGGCTTCAAATGGCTGGCTGGTGACCGCGGGGGCTGCCGAGTGACCATGCATGTTGATGCAACGCCGTCGACAGGCGATGGTTTTCCGTGTTTGTAGTGTATTTCAAACAAGAGGAGCTTCAGAGAGACCACACCAATAGCACTGGGCGACTACCGGTACCGGTAATTTCTTTTCTGAAGACAGTCATCTCCATGTCCCCTGAGATGAACAGAGAACGCTGGAAGCAATGGAAGAGGTTTTTCGCGAGAAGATCAGCAAGAAGACAGAAGGCCAAGAGCGCACCACATCGAGTCAGATCTCGTCTTGGACAAAATATGAACCAAAATGTAGCTCGCCATTGGCCTGGCGGTTTGAAAGAAGGGCTGCCGCTTTCACTGATAAGTGCAATGTGCATTCTTGTTGCACTTGAGCCACGGCGATCGTGGAGATAAACTCGAGCCATCCTCATTTACCGTATATATGAAAATATCAATCTGAAGAGAGATTGATATGAAAATATCAATCTTTCTATTTGGACACATTCTTGTCAGGCGCTTTATTACCGGGATTATTATACCACCATGGGTTTATTTTCTATGTGGTCCATCGTCAAGCTCCTTGATCGACCAGCAGCGTTCGCGGTCGTGAGCCAGACCCGTGTTGCGTAGCTCCACTTGGATGCGACCGTGGTCCAACCTGGAGCCGCAGCACCTGAAGGTACAAATTGTATACGGGGGATGCTTACTTGAACTCGTGGGCTGATGGAAGTCATTGGCTTGGCAACCAACGCAAAATGTCGGGTGGTCGGTCTGATGTTGATGAAGGTTGAATGCTCTTGTTGCACCTGATCGAATTGTTTTGTTTTGGCGTATTTACTGTTAGACACATATTCATTGTCATTAGAGTTCAAAAATGCATTGTTTCCGACATGCTCGTAATGTCGTTGTTGACACGAGTTGTTACCATGCCTTAAACAGATAGTAGTGGACTTCCTATTAATGTGTGATGCAGGCCTGAGGATAAAGCGAGTACAGGTCAAATACAGGTCGGTCGTGTTGCGGACTTGAGTTGCAGGTAATCGCGGAGAGCGTTGCGCGACTCGGCAAGTGATGGCACCACAGTGCGACGAGCCAAGTGCCGGCATGCTCCTATTATTAAAGTGTGCGGTGTACCGCCGCCTTGAAGCGTTTGCTGATGAGTCTTCAGACTGGCGTTCCCGGTAGTTCCAATAGTGCCCTGCCCACACTCCTCCTGAGGGACGAACTCTTAATTGCCCCCCAAAACCATCGATAGAGGCAGGACGACTGTATGCACGCAGCCTGTGATTGGTCGGTGCTCTATTGCAACCTCCCCTTTCGCAAACTTCGGTTTCGAAGTTCGACAATTAAAAACCCATCGACGACTGGAGTGATCTCCCATGCCAAATACCCTCCCCTCCTTCCCCGAGGGCTTACGGAGCCCCGCTAACTCTCCCTCTTCACCAGAACAACCCCACCGACCTCGTACCTCTTCCCTAACGCCCTCCCCGACCTCACGTAACAACTCTGCTGCCTCAACCACCCCTTCCCCGAAATAACAGGCTAGGAGTCCCAGGAATATTATTACTACGACACATGTGGCGTGTCGCAATAGTTTTAGGGGGCAATTAAGCAGCCCTTCCTGAGGGCGGACTTGCTTTTTCTCAGGCCAGTGTGAGTGCACAAAGCACGAAGACTGATCCCGACTGGTGGGATTTCTTTCGATCGTCCGAGCTCCGTCGTTGCTCACATATCACAGTCGTGCACTTGTCGTGCATGATGAATGAAATGACCTGGACGATCGTTCGTAGCCGCCAGCGATCACGACGTAACAACGTTATGCCGCCGTGCGCGCAGAGAACGAAGACGTTGTTGCGTCTTGCAGCTCATGCGTCGTCGCTCCTCCCCGTGGCGGCCACTCGATTTGTGTAGAAGCCAAAGTTCTTCAAGGTTGTGGCCGTAGCGACGTGAAGACGACTACGAAAGCGTGTCCGACGTTCTGATTGTTCTGGCACCATTATCGCTTCAAAATAGTTGATAGGAGCCACTCGTGGGACTTCTGTACCTTAGTACACGCCTCAAGCGTGCCACGTGGTAACCGTAGAGATCCTGCGGCGGTTCGTGACGCGCAAAGGAATGGACGAGAAAAGAGATCACTTTGCGCCAAGCATGTTGTTGCCAATGATCGGTGCGCGCTTCTGCCGCGCCCCCTCTCCTATGCTCCTAGCATCTGCGGCATGCATTGTATCACGCCGTGTCCCTGGACCTGCTGCTTGGACCCGTGTATCGCATCGGGCATTGATGGTCATCGCCGCGAGATCGGTCTTTTGCTGCGACGTGCGGCTATTCGTTTGCCTTTCTTTTGCTGGAGAGCGTTGGTTCTTGCTGCAAGGGTATTACATGTACGGCCAGCGAGCGTGGACAAGCACGTCGCTTGTAGTACCACGCACCGCATCAAGAGCCAGCGTCTCTGATCCTTCAATCGCTTGCCCATACAAAACCTACATGGTAAGGATTCCACGCGTGCGTAGACAGTGCACCTCTGACATGGACCCGCCATATGGCCTCCAGTTACAGGCTAATTACAGACGTCCATCGCAGCCACGGCATTGCCAACGGCAACTTCGGTAGAGGCGCTCACTTTACCTTTCCAACAGGTCGACACATTACCGAAAGATGGGTCCGAAGAAGACGTCGCGCCCCGAGTTTCCGCCGCCGTATGCGGTCGGCCCCGAAGAGTACGACCGCCTCATGGCGATTGCCCAAGACGCCCTCGTCCAGCTCATCGCGACGGCCAAGGTGCTTAGCCTCTCCCGCGGCCAAAACACGCTCAAGGCCGAGAAGGAGAAGAACGGGTCCGTCTTCGAGATGGAGCACCAACAGATGAAGGGCACGATCCAAGAGGTCATGAACTACTACATCGCCGACCGGGGGGATACCGCCAAGTTCAAGCGCACGCAGTGCTGCGCCGACACGGAGCTCGTGCTCGAGATCCATCCGCCGAGCCGGAAGAACCCGCACAAGTTCCTTGGCATTCGCTGGAAAGCACTCGACCAGCCGTCGCTCTTTGGGTCGTTCACGCGCTGCCGAGACCTCTGCCTCCTCGAATTCTGCACGCTCTTCCAGGACGACAATGGCCGGACGGGCTGGGCGCGCTGCGTGCACTCGATTGAGCACCCGATGTGCCCCGACTTTAACGACACCAACGGGTACCTTCGCTGCAGTGTCGTCAACTCGGGGCTCGTTGTCATGGAGGCCCAGCACGGCGTCGAGACGCTCGACTGTTTCATGGTCTACGACATCCAAGCCCGCGGCAAGACCTCCAAGTGGATTGGGTCCTCCTCCGTGAGTCGCCACTTTCAAGCCGCGCGCAACATGATGATGACGATCCAGACCGAGCGCCGCACGCAGATTTTCCGCACGATCCGCGCCAACGAAGAGCACCACAAGATGTCCATGAGCACGACGAGCTCGGATCCCGGCAACACGCCGCTCAACCTCAAGACAGGCGCCTTCTTTGTGCCCAACACACCCAACGGCAACACGGTGCTGCGGCCATCGCCGTCGGCCTCGACCGCGTCCACGGTCATGAGCACGGTGACGCAAATTCCGCCGCCGAAAGAGCCTATCATGCTCGACCTCTCGTATGTCTCGGACCTCAAGTAGAGACATACTAGTACGCTTAGAAGACACATGCGCGGACGGCGCTGTCCCCAAAGAATCCGTCGACCAATATATCTAATTTGCTAGTTCTCGTTTCTGCCTTGTGCTACATGATCCGCACTTGCTTGTACATGCCGGCGCTTCTACTCCAGCCGACGTGGACGGGTTCCTATCGGTTGGATGCTACGGGGCGGTAGACATGCGCTCGTTTACTGCCGGCATAGCGCCGTACGCTCTTTGCGCCAGCGACGACGAAAGGTCCTGTCCACGCTGCAAGACACGCATTGCAACACACCTGGGTGCACGCGTGATCGAGGCGTCCAGACCCTAGCCCACGTTACGTCCACGTGACTGCAGTTCAAGTTGACGAAAAGCGCAGTGGTTGTAAG